TTGCAGATTGTTTAAAGGTAAAGGGCAGTTTTGATCAGACTACACTTTTTCTAACATGTTTTTATAACACACGAACCTAGTAATTGTCACTATACATTGACCTCCTAAAAAAGGCTATGCAGCTCACATCTACCCCCAAGGTTTGTATTAGGCCTTTATGTTACATGTGACAGACATCATCTGACCTATTTCAAAGGATGTCCATCAGTGATCCTTAAATGTGGATTGTTTTGCAGCATCCAACATAATAAGCATTAGGTGGATGAAAAGCTGGACGTCACCCAGCAATGTGCGCTTGCAACCCAGAAAGCCAACCGAGTCCATCAAAATTAGTATTAGCAGCAGGTCAAGGAAGGTGATTCTGCCCCTCTACTCTGCTCTCTTGAGACTCCACCTGGAGTCCTACCTCCAGCTCTAGAGTCCTCAGCACAGGAAGGACCTGTTGGATCGGGTCCAGAGGGGGGCCACAGAGATGGTCAGAGGACTGGAGCACCTCCCCTGTGAGGAGAGGCTGAGAAGAGTTGGGGTTGTTCAGCCTGGAGAAGAGAAGACTCCGAGGAGACCTTCTAGCAGCCTTCCAGTACCTGAAGGGGGCTTATAAGAAACACGGGGACAGACCTTTCAGTAGGGCCTGTAACGACAGGACAAAAGGTAATGGTTTAAACTAAAAGAGGGCAGATTCAGACTAGATCTAAGGAAGACATTTTTTACGATGAGCGTGGTGAAACAAAGGAACAGGTTGCCCAGAGAGGTGATAGATGCCCCATCCCTGGAAATACTCAAGGTCAGGTGGGATGGGGCTTTTGAGCAACCTGATCTAGTTGAAGATGTCTCTGCTCTTTGCAGAGGGGGTTGGACTAGATGACCTGTAAAGGTCCATTCCAACCCAAACCATTCTATGATTCTAGGATATTATTTTATTGGAATTTGAGTCTTATTTCTTGTACTACTCACCGTGAACATAAATAACTATTTTTTACAGAAGCCTTTAGCATAGAGACCCTAATTAAATTTTAGTATATTTAAAGACTCCTCATTACATTTTTCCTCTTTAAACAATAAAATAAAATCCAATTCTTTCAGATATTTTTTTCACTCTAGTTTAACAGTTTATATGACATAATCTGAATGGTAAATGTCTTATCTATTTTAACTTTAAAGTGTCAGGCTGAACTTTTCCATGCAACTTTTCCACTCAGATTATTTCTTCTTTTCAATAAACATCTTCTCTCTGGATATCTCTTTTCAGCAAAAAATAATTCTTCCATCTTCAATAATTGGGTGAACACTTTATATTTTGTGGTTCTTACATTTACAAAACCATTTTATTCAAAGGTCCTGGTGCTCTCATGTTTTGGAGAAAAGGCTTGAAATATAGTAGGTAATTTTCCACCTGTGGAAGACTATTTTTGCCTTACACCTATGGAATTTGGTCCAGTTATAAACCCATAAAAGTCTTTGTTCCCATTTGGTAAACATCTGTGAGTCGATGCTAGCTTAATTCTCTTATGTTGGTGGTTCTCCACTGCAGAGAATTTAATGCAGTGTGGATGAAGATGCATCACCCCCAGGGGTGACTCAGGACATGTCGTTCCTGGGGCGCAGTGTCTGATGGCTGGCATGAGAGGCCAGAGGACATGTGCCTGAGCCTGGAGGCATGAGAAGAGGAATGTAATGGCCTGTGGCAATTGACAGAAAAAGATCTCCTGAGACATGTCTTTTATCAAATCCTGATAAGGAAAGCAGTACCATTTAAAATGTGACACAAAAACTGTAAATGGAATAACAAGAAATTCCAGGCCAAAGTTATAAGAAAAGTAGCAATTTTTAAAATTGCATTGCCTCTTTTTCTTTTCATTTTTGCACATAAGAAGAACAAGTATTAACTATATTAGTATAATGATAAAGTTAAATATTCCATCACTATAAAATAACCCACACATTTTGCTGTGCTTAGAAGGAAGATTACCACAGCAGTGCAATTAAATATTTTAATCTCACATAAACCTACAAAAATAAAATCTGGGTTATTTATTCCCTCAAATTGATAAGAACACAATCTGAAGCACAAACTTGATTGGCTTTTCAATAGAAAGCCAACCATCATTTCCTTTTGATTACCAAAATCTTTATGTTTCTACACACTTAAGTAACATTTTGAAAAATTCTCTCAAATTCAGAATTAGTTATGTTAATTATCTGGATTACAATAAAATGAAGTAATTCATCCCTTTGCTAGTACATAACTCCCATCACTATGTAAAAGACCTAGAACTATTTCTTTCAAGAGAAATAAAAGAAATGGCTGAGCTGAGGATTCATATTGTCAACGTTTGATTCCTTTCATAAAGTTTAGTATCACACTTAAAGACTGCTAAACCACTAACTACTTAGTAACAATACATCAAGCCACATCCTTCAAAACATCAAACAAAAAGCATGGTTGGTTCCTATTGGTGATGACAATTTCACAAGGATACCTTCAGTTCTTCCCATGGGAAGGTGCTTAGGGTGGTGAAACACTGGAACAGGTTGACCATGGAGATGGTAGATGCCCCATATCTGACCAGTTAATTCTGTAATCTTCAGTACCCCAGATTTGACACAGAGGCCCCAGCCCACAATGGGATAAACTTAAGGCACAGAATCACAGAATGGCTGAGGTTAGCCAGAACCTTCTGAGGTCATCTGGGCCAACACCCAGATCAAACAGGGCCACCTGGAGGTGACTGACCATGACCACATCCAAATGGGTTATGAATTTCTCCAAAGTGGAAGACTAAGTCACTTCCAGTTGGGTTTGGTTTTTTTTTGTTTGGTTTGGTTTTTTTGTTGTTGTTTTGTTTTTGTTTTTATGCTGCTTTTGTTTTGTTCTTTTGTTTGCTTGTTTAATGAAAGTATGGGGCTCACCCTGTCCCATGGGAAGAACTGAAGGTATCCTTGTGAAATTGTCATCACCAATACAGTAAATGTCATTTGTAAAAACATTTTAAATTAAAATAGAGAAATATTGCAAACCTGACTACATTTCTACAGTTTCTCCATTCACATTGCAAAGTATACTCAGGTGTGATCTTGCAAATTGATTCACAGAATTTAAGGAATTTCTACTTTTACAGAAATAAAGTTCTGCCTGCTCACATTTAGGTATTACTGTTAAATTACCCTAATTAGTAAATTCAGAAAAGAAGAGAAACAGCTCTTGTAAAAGCTAAATAAAAAGGGGGTACTTTATCTCACTCTTTCTGTCACAAGTTTGAGAAGACCAAACCAAAACAAATGTTTCTTTATTTGCAAGAAATTCATATATTATGCAGCTCATAATATAGAATCATAGAATAGTTTGAGTTGGAAGGGACCACTTTCTCCAACCCCCCTGCAGTAAGCAGGGACATCTTCCACTAGATCAGGTTGCCCAGAGCCCCATCCAACCTGACCTTGAACACCTCCAGGGATGGGGCATCTACCATCTCCATGGACAACCTGTTCCAGTGTTTCACCACCCTAAGCATAAAATATTTCTTCCTTATATCTAGTCTAAATGTCTCCTCTTTCAGTTTAAAACCATTGACCCTTGTCCTATTGCTACAGGCCCTGTTAAAAAGCTTATTCTCATCTTTCTTATAAGCCCTCTTCAGGTACTGGGAGGCTGCTAGAAGGTCTCCTCGGAGTCTTCTCCAGGCTGAACAACCCCAACTCTCTCAGCCTGTCCTCAGAGAGGAGGTGTTCCAGGCCTTCGATCATTTTCATGGCCCTCCTCTGGACCTGCTCCAACAGTTCAATGTCCTTCCTGTGCTGAGGGCTCCAGAGCTGGACACAGTATTCTAATATAAATTAGATTTGTTTGGAAGCTGTATTTTAGACCCAGGAAACTTGAAATTAAAATACAGTAAATTGTTTTTTCCTAAGAAAAAGTGCATCATTCATTGTAAAGCAATAAAAATACCTACAACAGACCATTTGGCAGGATGTGGGTAATGAAGACAGACATTGGTGGGGGAGAAATGAAACAAAGAAACAGAACAAGCTGCTCTTGAGAAAGGTAGTAATTCCCAAATCTCAAACATTACTAAAAGCCTTCATATTTATGCTTTATTAACTTTTCTTTGTGAAAAAATGTAATACAGTAAAAAATTAGAAAATCATGGTAATGAAAGGCTAATGGGAAAAATATAATTATGACTTAAATCACCTGTTCAAGAAGTCTCCACAGGTTCAATAATGATGAAATTATTTAACCTTTTAAGACTCCACCAGTCTTAACCTTTTAAGATTCCCGAAAAATTGCTTGGTGCAAAAATAAATACTGAATATTATCTGCATTTCAGAATAACTTCCCAAGTTCTTCTCTGTATGTGAGAACATATTCATCAGAAGGCAGTTCAATATGCCTTAAAGACAGAAAGGCAAAAAAGTAGAAACACCTAGTACTGAAGTACTGGAGACGCTAGAAGAAGCTTACCCACTCTTGGGCTCCCTACTCAGAGACAGACAAACTACCTGGTGATAACTCCTCCTCCCTATCTCTTCACAGTCAGTAAGGTCAATATAACAATTACAGGAGCATCTATAGTTGTGTTTTGTTTCAGATTAATAAAGTGCTTTGATGCAAATCTCTGATTGTTCCCACGTAAAATGCTTTAGTTTGCATTATGGAATAGTCTCAGACTACATAGACTACATTCCTTTCTGATTAACCTCCACTATGCACTCCAAGAGAGCACCTGTAGTGCTACTCTGAAGTAAAACAAAATGAATATAATGTGAACACTGTGTCCCCAACACTATTAATTCAATATATTCCCTTGTATTGGTGTGATGTGACTTGCTGATGTAGACAAAGCTGATAGGATCTGGTGAGTAGACCTGGTGGTATAACTAGTATGGGTATATCAATATCTATAATTCACATTACAGTAACTGTAGCATTTTTTATACAAGAAGCAGCATCAGTTACCTAGGATCCGTGCAAGAAATAAAACTTTGAATTTCCTGAGACTAATGCATTTAAAAATCTCAGGTACAGTTTACAGCAACAATTTCAGACACTTAAGAGGAAAACAAAAGTTTTATATATTGTAGATCCAGAGAGGACAGACCATCTACTTTTATGTTCTACACCACAAAAGGCACGGAACATCGCCAGTTATGTGATGTAGATACATATGGATTTCTATTTAACATTTCACATTATGATCCAGCAACAACGTAAGGTAACACACTACAAATCTGCAACACACAGCTTTGGTCTTATGTCATTCTCATTATTTGGGTTTTGGTTTGTTTTTTCAATACTGCTCCTTACTACATTTTAAAAAGAAACTGGTTTTGCATGATCTGCTAGCGTCCCTCAAAAAATCATAATTATTTCTTTATTGACAATTTTCAGACCAAACATTGTAACTTTGCAGAAACACTCTAACTTAACGACAAAATTATTTGTATCACACCAGCACGTAGCTACTTCTATTAGAAAGAAAATAAAACCAGCATCTTTTTTTTTATCTGAGAGCTCATGATGAATTATTTTTTATATGGACTTTAGTGAACGTGTCTGAATTAAAAAGTTCACTCACTATTTTTCCACACTAACTTGCAGAAAACTATTATGCTACATATGTTCCATTATTTACAGACGTATAGCCTACAGGCGGAGGGTGATCTGACATGGGGGAAGAGCACCCCTTTGCATCACATCATGTAGCCAAGACAGCACCATGGCATACAGCTGCAGCTAGAAAAAGATGCACTCCAGCTACTGCAGAACATCCCAGCCTTTTTGCTGTCTTATTAAGAAAAGAAACAACTTCAGCCACCATTTGGGGTGAAGGAGCCAGAGGAAAGCATGAATGAGCACACATGATTTGCTGCACCAGAAGCAGGAGAGCAGAAGACAGGGTAAACAAGATACTTGTATTTTACTAACAGGCATGCATAAAACAGCCTAAGTATCAGCTGCGACTTCACGGTACCTTAATCTTTAAACTATGCGCAGATGTGCTGTAACAGTACAGTACCCAGAATGCAGTATGTGCAGTTATGTCAACATTATTACTGTATTGCATAAAGCCACCATGTAAATACAGTATATAACACAAAAGGGTTCTGCAAGCCCAGCAACAAAACCACACAGGAAGCATTCCTGAAAACCAACAAACTGGAGGGAACACTGGAGATAAATAACAACAACCTTTTTCCTTGCCTGCTTTCGGGTTACATAAGGATATTCAGCTACCTTGGTATTTCTGTACTTTCATCCTCTTACATGCAATTCAGAGGATGTGGTTTACAAGTTTAGCATATTAATGTTGCCTGTTTTCCTACCAGTGCTATCTCTCCTAATCCAAGCTGGGCACGTCCCAAAGTCTGCCAGGCATCCCAGGAACGTGGGTTTCGCTGAACAGCCATTTCTGCTGCATGCACTGCTGGGAACATTTCTTGTAAAGACATCAGGACCTATGACAGAAAAAGAAAAATAAGAGGAATAAGAATAAACAAAATTGAAAACAGATTTAAGTTTTGTGGGATTACCCAGGCAAACACCATTGTTTCAACAACTAAGGACAGGTTCATCTCACCTAACTTCTAGCTTAAAAGTTAGTTGTCTAATCTCAGATAGTCACCCAGACTCATTCCATAGCGATGGTGAGAAAAAGGCATGCTAGATGATGATTCATCTGAACTATTTAAGCAACTCTATTAGAAGTAGATTAATTGCTTCTAAAGGTGCCCCTCCCTCTCCCTTCCTCCCTACAAACCCCATAATCTGTAACATGATAGAATAAACTGAAGGACAAACACATTGAGAATTAAATACAATAAATAAGCAAGTATTGTTGAAAAACTCCTGGGTTGCATTGTTTCTTTTTAATAGAAGACTGGAATCTACCAAATACAGTTGCAGTGTGCACATGATGGTAACAATCCCTGCAATTCAGCATGGAAACAGCCCTTTACAATGACTGTTGTATTTGGAGAGTAAGCATTCTGCAACAGCAAAGACTAACTTAGACATGAAGTCACCTAAACTAAAAAAAAAAAAAGAAAAAAAGAAAAAAAAAAAGTGGTTTCTGGATGTGGAAATGTCTTTTACTCAGAAGTACAGGTTAGTGTCAGCCTGTTACCACATTATACTACTCCTTGCATTGAATCTCCATAACTAAGCCTATAAATCATAGTTAATGATACATAACATGGCTTAAAGCTTACTGTATTTTTTTAAGACCACCATGAGACTGGCACATTACCTGCAGACCTGCATCACTCTGAGATCATGATTTCAGACACCCACATGCTATGGTAATAGATACCAGCATAAGAAACAAATGACAACTGCATTCCTACCATATGATGAGAATGTCAACCACAAGAGTAAGACTCATGTGTGGGCAACCACTTTCATCCCAACTGACCCTCAAGAATGATGAATAATATTAGAACATATTAGGTCTACTGCTGACATGCAAAAAGATATAAGGTTTATTTTCAAGGATGCAGCTACTCTGAAATACTAGTTTGACTGCATTTCAGATCTTCCTGTGTAACTCATCACTAGTTTAAACATATCTAGAAATGAACTCTGTGCCTCCTTCCTAAATAATCTTTCTTTTATCTGTACTGCTGTCATTACCATTACAACATCATAGAATGGTTAGGGTTGGAAACAACCTTAAAGATCACCAAGTTCCAACCCCCGTGCCACAGGCAGGGACACCTTCCACTAGACCAGGTTGCTCAAAGCCTCATCCAGCCTGGGCTTGAACAATTCCAGGGATGGGGCATCCACAACTTCTCTAAGCAACCTGTTCCAGTGTCTCACCACCCACACAGTGAAAAATTTCTTCCTCATATCTAATCTAAATCTACCCTCTTTCAGGTTATAACCATTACCCCTTGTCCTCTCACTACACTCCCTGATAACGAGTGCCTCCCCATCTCTCCTGTAGGTCCCCTATAGGTACTGGAAGGCTGCTATAAGGTCTCCTCGGACCCTTCTCTTCTCCAGGCTGAACAACCCCAACTCTCTCAGCCTGTCCTCATAGGGGGGTGCTCCAGCCCTCAGACCATCTTCGTGGCCCTCCTCTGGACTCTCTCCAACATATCCATGTCTTTTTTATGTTGGGGGCCCCAGAGCTGGACACAGTACTCCAGTGGGGTCTCATGAGAACAGAGTAGAGGGGGAGAATCACCTCCTTAGACCTGCTGCTAATGCTTCTTTTGATGCAGCCCAGGATATGGACATCATTTTTTTCTCTTCTTTCACATGAATTTAGTCTACATTTATTCCTTGTATAAGAGCAAGGCTATTTTGCTACCTGCAAAACTGCTTTCATTGTCTTGATTATGATCTCTTTTATTGTTGGTTTCTATAATCCCTATGTATCACACCATAAAGGACCGAAGTCTGTTTGACTTAATAAAAAGTTAGACACTCAATGAATGTCTTGTTCAAAGTCTTGCTCCCACCTTCTACTGTATACAACTTTATTTTCTCCTCTCGTTTTAAGAATCTATATTATTTGTTTCCTTTTATTTACCTCTTTTTGAATAAGTTATTCTTAATTTTATTTGCTCCAACATGGCATCAGCATAGTGGTCTATTTTTCTGCTTACAGAGATGCCACCAGGTCTTCTTTCATTTCAGCCCATATGCTTGAAATACTTGAGCTAATCAGAAAACTATTAGCTTTTCAGTTAGATGCGTGACTGAAACATCAATCTGGAAACCAGTAGCAGTCCCTACACCCAATGTGAGCAGAAGGGTTGCTGCTACTCTTACCTTTGCTCAATTTTATCTCATTGTCACAGTCACTTATTTTCTTTATAAGTTTGTTTACACTTAGACATTTAACTTCAATAATTGTTTTGAAATAGTTATTATGTAGAAAATAGAATAAATAGAACACAACTCCCAGGGCTTCCTCCACAATAAGCATGTTCTTTGATTTGGTTGAATTCCTTCCAAAAGAGGAAAGTGAACTCCTCTGTGTGGGGACCATTTCTGGTTCAGAGCTCTATTGTACTTAATACAACAAACTCTTGACCCTCTTTTAATCTTTCATGAACTACTTCAGTACAATTGACTCTAAACTGCAAGACATCATCGGCATCAATCCAGACCTGCATACATTACTTCATCAGTAACTTTGTGCTATCACTTTTGATTCAAGTTACATTCACACAGATTTCAATGTGGTTTTGGCAGATTTTTTTTTACAGCAGAGATTAATAGTCACGCTCTGCTAGTTACTTCCTGCAGGACATTCAGATTACTAGTAAAAACAGGAACACACAAGGATTATTCTAAAAAGATCACAAACCATTACAATAAAGTAGGCTACTCGGACATAACATTTTTTTAAACTTTTATTTTTTAGAGAAACTAATTCAGCTGCATTAGGGTATTTTTCAACCACCATACAAATAGCATGATGGTTCACAGAAGAACTACGTATCTTTGAAAACTCCATTTAAATCCCTCTTCCTCAATATTTTGGCATTGAGTCTTTAGATGGCCATGCATTCAGAAAAAATGCACAACTATAGCCTTGACATTTGAGAGTATGGAGATATTAACGTTTTACTTATCAAAATTATGCTGGGGAAAACCTTCCTAAAAGAGACAATCCTACCAGCAAAATAGGTCTTCAATCTCTTTTGAAGCAAGCAATCGCAGAAAAGGGATATTTTGCCAGAATCACCTAAGGTAAAGATGAGGATGTGAACGTTTGCTTATGAACACCCTTTTAAAAAGCTGGTGCACTAAGACTCTGTCCTTTCCTGTTGCTCTCAAATTAATTTCTCAGATGAATTTTCTTTTGCAAACTTCATTAGCAGGATGGCACTCAAGTTAACCAATCTGATTGCACATTTCATTTTTCTTCCAATTATAGTATAATACTTCATTAGAAAACATTCTTAAAACTCATCAAACAATTAGAAAAAAAATCTTACAAAGCAGAAAAAACATCTCAAGACTTTCATGCACTTATATATTAAAAATTACTAGAGGGAAATGTCTTCCAAAGATGTTCACAGTAGGTGGAGTTCCAGGACTTATTTTATTCCAACACAGACTTACTGTCATCTCATACATTAAAACAAAGAACATCCATGTCACTACAATGACTTAGTTGAACAGATTTAACTTTAAAAAATAACATATATATATGAGACATAAGAATTAGAAGGACTCAGTGGTGAAAAACCAATTAAACATAGCAACTGTCATGGGGAGACTGACCAAGTATTAAAAATCCAGGCAGCAGAATGACCCATCCTGACCTACACACAATATTTTTGAAGTGTTAAGCATCTGAGTAAGTCCTGGTTTCAGATGAGCTCACTGGCTTGAAGATGAATCACTATATATAGAAACATTCCAAGTCCAGTGAAGCTGACCCAATTCCTTCTTCCATCCAGAAATCCATTTCAAAGCACTGATGAATATTCTTCCTACCCATATGCAGTTTACGTTCACCCATGCTGTAATGCAATTACCGTTGCACCACACAGCAATGCTTTTTGCTACACAGCTTTCTGGAGTTTACATCAATGTTTTCATGGTAAACTCTTCTCACCACATCCAAGTTTAAAAAAAATAAAATCATCAATTAATATCTGATTTGTTATAACCTAAACTTGGGATTGTGGGTCTGGTCATGACTTAAGAACCTTATAATTTCTTAAGCAGGAAGAAGGATGGGTGGAAGTTGATATTGTTTCTTCACTGAGTCATCTACTACAGGCCGCCTGACCAGGAGCACCAAGTGAATGAGGCCCTCTACAAACAGGTAGGAACAGCTTTGCATTCACAAGCTATGGTCCTCATGGGGGCCTTCAGCAACCCCAATATCTGTTGGCAGGACAACACAGCAGGACACCAGCAATCAAAGAGGTTCCTGAAATGCTTTGATGACAACTACCCCTTCCAAGTGGTACAGGAATAGATGAGAAAACGGATTGCCTCAACATATGTGCAGGACCTTGCATTTGGCTTTGTTGAACTTCATAAGCCCAGCATGCGCCCACCTCTCAAGCATGTCCAGGTCCCTCTGGATGGCATGCCTCCCCTTTAGCACATCAACTGCACCACACAGTTTAGTGTCATCTGCAAACTTGCTGAGGGTGCACCGATCCCACTGTCCATGTCACTGAAAAAAGATGTTAAATAGCACCAGTCCCAGTACCAATCCCTGAGGAATGCCACTCATCACCAGTCTCCATTTGGACATTGAGCCATTGACCGCAACTCTCTGAGTGTGACCATCCAGCCAATTCCTTATCCAGAGGGTGGTCCAGCCATCAAATCCATATTTTTGCAATTTGGCCACCAGGATGTCATACGGGACAGTGTCAAACGCTTTGCACAAGTCCAGGTAGGTGACATCAGTTGCTCTTCCTTTGTCCACTGATGACGTAACTCCATCATAAAAGGCCACCAGGTTTATCAGGCA